GAAAGCCGAAGCCTTTGTTCTACACAACCCAGAAAGCAATTTCGGACGAGTTTCCCGTTGGCATCGTGCCAATAACCGCTACGGTAGATACGGCTGCATGTATGTGCTCATATATCCATGCAGCACCACAGCCGCTCCATATTTACAAGTAATCAGGTCGAGTAGAATCGGTCGAATATTTAAGGGCGATCGGGGGCGGTGGGCTTTCAGGTCGGTATGCTGCAGCTTGATAGGGCGCTGTAAGGCGCCGCTGTGCCTACTCAGGGACGTCAAAGTCTGTCCTGTTGAGCGTAGTGATACTACACGTCTCTGGGATTTATCGTGCAACTTGCCTTTAGGAGCCCTTCCCGAACAACAAACTTAACCTAGCCCTTCTGCAGCAACCATTTGCTCTGGATCTGAACGATCTTTTGGTATTCTGGACTGTAGATGTATGTAATATTTAACTATTTATACATTAGGGAAAGCTTTGCGAAGATGATTGCACAAATGATAAGAAATGCACGAAAGACACACGTAACAGATATCAATTACTACCAGTTATCTACAAGTTGGTGAATTTGGCATCAAATTCCTGCTTCACTGAGTCCGGGATCTTTGAGTACAGATCTTCGATTTTCTGTAGGCGTTCTTGTTCGGGAATACGTGGATTCGTCATCAGTGCCGATACCTGAAAGGCAAAATGGTAAGATTCACCTTGGAAAGGTGAGATTTTGGAAAGATTCCGCTGCAGCGCCCTAATCGAGCGAAATCCCCCAAAAATACACATGTAGCCCTCCATTAAAAGTCGGGCTAGTGCTGTGCAGGAGTGACTCCCGTCAGCGACCTTGTACTTTAGCTAACCCACTGAAACCTCGTTCGGACACCAATTTCTAGCCGTCAACCGACCAGTTGTCGCTAGCCGTCAGCCGGTCAGCTAACTTAGGGGTCGTCCGAATTAACCTGTCCCCCGTGAACTGAAGTGGAGTGCGATGATCAGCGATGCGAGAGAGGAGCTAGTGTTCGTTGAGAAACCGGTCGATGCTGAACTAAAAGTGGAGGATGACTGAATGGGTCAAGGGCTGGGTGGCAATAGTGACAAATTGCATTGGTGGGTCAGTCAATCCAAAGAGGACTAGCGTGTCAGTGGAGAATATTGCCCTTCGCGCTCTAGTTACCAGCCCGTGCAAGGGATGCTGTCGTGCCTGCAACAGTGCGCTGTAGCTCAAAAAAGAGTGGGCAATAATTCAAGGGCGCTGTTGGCCTGGAGGAGGCATTTTGCATTTTGCTGGTTCCTTTTGCTAGTTCGCTTGAATGACAGGTGTTATTGTGTGAGAGACCTGTAGACCACTGTGGAGCTGTGGAATGGTGGAAATGAGCCGCTTTGGTCGTTCAAAACCCTCTAGCCATACAGATTCACAAGGAGATCTGCACATGCTTAGCACCATAAGGTACTATAGGTCCCCCCCACCAAGCGTACTGCGCGCTTTGGAGCACTGGAACCAGTGCCTCGAAAGTTTCTACGAGGTTACAGAAAACTCACTCAAGAATGAAGAGGAGTTGAGGGTGAGGCTGGGCAATTTGGAATAGCTAACGAACACGGCACGCCAAGCAACCCTTGATTGAATACCGTCAAGGCCTGCAGACCCTCTATGCCTCATAACTGGTGGCAGTTTCGATCGGGGCAAGGAGAATACCAACTCGTACTCGCTCCCACCCCCCCCCCTCCTCGCGGCTGCATTGCCGGAATACGCCTTCAAATGTAGATATGTTGGTATAGGTTGGTTGGCATACTACGTGTGTTCACAGTTAGGTCAGTTGGGTGGGGAGGGGAAAATTAAAGAAAGCACGAAAAGGCCAGGAAGGGAAAATATTCAGGTTTGCGTCAGAAAGGGTCAGAGTCAGCCCTCGAAGGATGGAAACTGTTCATAGGTATGCGGTCCTGAAGGCAGCATAAATGCAGGAATCTAACTACGCACTATGTAGTCCTGTTTGCTACGGACGCTTGGGCGTGCCATTGGTTGGGGCTAAGATTGGCGCGGCGCCAGCGTCTCAACAATTAATGGAGAACGTGGTGGCACCGCTCGGACTCAGCCCTCCTGACACGCCCTAGCATCCGCAACTGTAGGTTGCTGTCACACTCGACGACCACCAGCGGACGTTGACCATCTTCTTGCGAGAGATAGTCACTTACAGAGGATGAAGAGTGATGGTTTGTTGGAAACTGCGCCTCATTCGGAACTCTATTCACCGCTGGATTTGAAATTCCTCTCGATCTCTTCTTTCCGTCGCTGTTGGTTCAAACGGAGGGCTACAGGGGAGTCTTGACCTCCAAAGCCGTTGGCCTAAATAATGAGTACACTTCCCATTGCCAGTGGCAGACACTCTCAGTTATAGCGCTCGTTAAGATCGCACTGACACTCTGCAGTTACTGCCTACCATCAAATCAAGTTTGGGTCCTGGCAGGAATGAAGCTGCATCGGACGCTGCTTATAACGTTTATCTTAACAGCGACCTTTTCATGCCTGTACCCGCAGCTAAGATTGATGACTACTAACTCGGGAACCATGTTGCCGATCGAGACATCAGCGCTGCATAAATGGGGCATCGGGCAACTAGCTAGTGAATGTGCAACAGGCAGATAGTAGAGTCGAGTAGGCTCCCTCAACTCTAATGAATCTGCTCTAGAATAAAGAGTTGGTACTTGCCAAGCATTGGCAACTTCTCCGGTGCCACAGGGAGGTGGGGAAGGGTGAGGGCAAGTTCTTCCTATCACGCCCTCATTAGCGAGGCGCAATCTAGTGCACCCTTCAGTTCAGGGCCTTATTCAGAAATGTAATGTAAGGAAGACTCTTCTTCTCACATGCATCTGTAAAGAGAGAAAGTAGTACCTGAAAAAGTACCCACTGACCTTTTGAAACTGCTGTTGAGCTTCCGGTGACATAGCCGCCACCGCTTCGTGGACCCTTTGTCGCTTAGCGGAGAGATCGCCGGACGAAGCTCTTTGCCTATTGCATCGTGTTTGCTGTAATCAGTTACTGTTTGAGGAAAAGCAAAGGGCATATAACGCCTTTGCGCGTCCAACTAACGAGCCTCAAGTTTCACAGGCTCACGAAAGTAACATGTAAATGTACTGTGTATTCGGTTGCTCATATTTCGTACGAGCTCTTCGATTTTCGCGCTCTTTTCTGCACCCGACCACGTTGGGTTCTGTACGATCGCATAAAACTGAAACATCATAAATTTTAGGGCTAATAGTATGAAGTAATAAAGAGCCCTGGATAAAGTCGAATTGGGGAATCCTTGGGAGGAAGGCAAGACCTGGTTTCAAGTAAAGGTCCATTCATCAACAGGAGCGAACTCAGCTTTGGGACTTGGACGGAAAGGCACTCAAGGCCGGACACGTCGTGCCGTTGGGGAGAAATCTCGTAATACGCTTCCCCCCATTCCGCTTCTTCCCTAACTTCCTTCTTTCGAAGTTTTCCTAAAATCCTCCTCTTCCTTTCAAGGAGACTGCAGTCGGGCAGGGGGGATTGGGCATGTAGAACACGTGGAAGAGAGAAAACCGGGAGAGTAGTAAAAAAAACCAAAACATTTTCACGAGGGCAAATACGACCCCTCCATAAGACCCTACACCCCCAAATAAGACCCCAGCGGATGCTCGCCTTGATAAAGGGTCCTGTTTACGGCGCTCAATGTTGAAAGCTGAGACTGTCATCATGCATAGGAGGATTTCTGCTTATCCAGGAGAGAAGCACCTCCATGGAGCCGTACATTATAACCGTGCAAAATTCATAAGAGGGGCCGTATGAAGTTGCTGGGGTGGGCGGGAGAGCTGGATCGTATGTGGTCTCGAGAGGAATTAATCTGGTCGTTCCTCTTTTTCTTTGACAAATAACTGACAAGACGGCAAAGAGGATGGCAAATGGTAGCTAAGCTGTGAGAGATGGCCAAACCGGGACCCTTCTTTTGCGAAGTGGTGACACGGCCATTTCACCCATATCACTCATGTATCCTGATACAAGAGGGGAGAGGGTGGGTATTTATGCCTATGTTGGACACTTTCCGGTACTGGTCCAAAGCGCTGCTCTGACCATCGTAAACTTAATAAGTCACCTTCTTCGTATAAAAAAAGATTGCTCAGTCTCAAATATTCAAAAACGATACCCTCCCAGCAGAATTGCACTCGATTCATATTACTGATGACTAGACAGCAATAACTGACCTTGTCCTGATCTTCTTTGCTTTGTCCTTTCATGAAAGGCGGAATGACCCTCACGGGATCGGAATTAGGCGGAAGAGATGCCTGAAATCCAATCGATTGATAATAAGGTGACCAATTTTTGAAAAATCGGAAATTCTCACCGGCTTTTCTATTGTTCCCATGAAGTCATCTCCTTGAAACTGATCGTATTCTGTCGTCTGTAAAGCGCCACCATAACCAGTTGGGCCAACTGGTCCTCCTTGGATGGCACTATGTGGGCCAAAAGCACCCGGTTGATGACTGAGCTGTTGAATGGGCCGTGGTTGATTTGCATAGCCAATCGGTTGTAGGCCATATGGGTTTTGAGGGAACAGCCGTGCGGTATTCATGCCCATGTTGGGAATAATCTGACCGTTTCGGTACTGGTCCATAGCGCTGTTCTGGCCACCGTATCCTTGATATTGAGTTCCAAACTGGGCGAATTGAGGTGCTAAAAAGGAAAGGTTGGGAACGTGCTATGAGAAGGGTAGGAGGAATTGGATGAAAAATGAAGTACTGAACTGACCAAGCTCTGCGGTCAGCTGATTCGCTTGTTGGTTCGAGAGGGGAGATCCATAAAGTCCGCCTTAATAACGGCAAATGGGTAAATAAGGCGCTAGTCCATGATAGGTCCGCAGTCCTGACAGGCCGTTACAGGTACGGACTGCGGAATTGTATTGGACTAGCACCAATGGAACTTTGAAAAAGGGCACTGCTAGGCATGGAGGGGACATTCTGCAGTATCCGTTAGTTCCTTCTTTTCATGTGAACAACAGGTTTCCTTTTGATGGGACCTGTAAACTCCTGTAAAGAATTGAAATGCCATGAGACAGCCAACGTGGTCACTTGGATTCACAGGTTTTCACGTGGTGACGTGTGTCCTAGCAGTTACCCCCTCCAAGCCGAACAGCGCCTAAAAATGGTAACAGAGAACATACCTAGCCCGCCCGCTGGCTGGATTTGGCCGCCTGCCAGCATAGGATTGAAGTTCGAACCACCCATAGGAATACTCCATTGGGCTTGAGCCGAGATGGCCAGTACAAGTAGAAGAATGACTATGGTAGGCATGTGGCCTTCCAAAAAGGGTTTTGCCCTTTTAAGAGAACGAACGAGGTCAAACTTCAATGCCACGCCCACCTTGAAATGCAACGAGGGCCAATTAGCTGTCGGCAGCAGAACACCAGTCACGATCGGGGATTATTTCCGTGGGGAACGGTGCATTGAAATCCGCTCAATTACCGGTTTCAGTGGGATCAGTCGTTGGGTTCATTGCAAAACAGTAACATAACAGAAAATAAAATTCCAATTAGAACGTAACGTCATGTTTAGGATAGCTAGTACCAGGGGCAAGTGGGTCGTACGTCGGGAATACTCAACGATGGGGATCGTAGTTAACCGCTGGAGAGGGTGAATCGTATTCGCGTTTGCAGAAATGCTTCTTCGGTAGCTGACTTTTCTTAGTTCTTCCAGTTCCATGTGCGCTACATACTTACTCCTCTGAGAAGTTGGGAGAGTAGTCGTATAACACCCCTTTTTCTTGCTTCCCAATGGTTTACTCTGCTTCGACGTCGATGTTCCTCCTTTTTCACTGCGAACACCGGAAGGATAACGCTTTCGCACGGGTTCTGTTTATGGGAACGTGCAGCACGAAAGCTAGACTACCCCTACTTCTTTCACTCCCGCCCTCGCTACTTAGTTCTGAGTTTTGTTCGATTGTTAACTACCCCGGTGGACTTGTTTTATGGTTTTTCTGCAACTCTGCCTTCGATATCCCGATAACTCTCTTTAGAAGAAAGTGATGGCCACTAAAAAAGTTGCACTCCCACAATTTTTCGAATGTCCTGAGAAATGACGTGCTCCAACGCTACGATAGGTAATGTGCCGCAATGCTTCCATAGCGCCTGCAGAGACACTGTTTTTGGTGAGAGGTGCTCTAGAAGTGTGAAGAAGGAGCTTGAACTCTCAACTTTCACAAGCACACTTCGGAACCGTTATTTTGAAGGCAGAATTTGCGGAAAAGTTGTGTCAGAGCGGTTTCTGGCGCAGGCATTGTTGAAGAGTGGAGTGGGGGGGCCACTTCGGCGGAAGAACGGGTGAGGAGGTAGGAGAGAAGGAAGTTATAGTCCAAAGTGATACCACCATTTCACATACACGTTGCGGCGTCCCTGCCTGGCCAATCATAACTGGGTGCACGAAGGATTCGCTTGATTTTCAGCAGACTGAGGCCCTGTAAAGAACGTAAGCTCAATTGTACACCCTGCACCACTGTTGGCCCTTCTTTTACTGTTTTTAATTTCTGATTCGATACTAATTATCTGGTCGAAACAGAAGCAGGGGACGGCTGGACGCGGTGACACATTTCATACTGGCTGACACGCCCAACAGTCCACAGCGAAGTAGGATTAGCGGGATTATATCAGTAGATAGTGGATGAGTCATTTCTAGCTGCTTCAGAAAGTGATGCGGACAAAGGCGGAAGTTATTTTGACATGAGCATTTAATGACTCGAGCGGTATAGTTGATAAAGATGTAATGAGATGGAATCAGTATCCTTTCTTACCATTGATTAAGATCCCTGTCACCATCATTCATTCGCCTGGTCACTGAAACCCATCCTTAGTCAGCGTAAGGGCTCCAGCAGTTGACTAGCGATAAGGCAATTTTATCGGCCCTTATCAGCTGTTAATCACTTCCGTGTGCACCTGCCGCGATTCCCCATCTCTCACTCTATTCATTTTCATGGATCGCGCCTAGCTGATGCTGTCTCTCGCGTTCCATGAATATGTGACCCCCCCTCCTCGCGCCTTTCTTTTCAGATTCTAATTCACTGACTATCCACAAACGCCCCTTATCGAATCTTATCAGGTGTTATCACCTTCTGTCACCCACCAAAAGTGTTCCCGTCCTGCCGTGTATATCACTTCTTGGAACTGTCATCCTATCTTTTCTGCGACGCTCGCTATGAATTTCGTGACAGACAGACAGACGCACACACACACACACACTTACAGACATACTTAGCGGATTATATATAGTAGGATTTTACGGATTTCCGGATTTCATATTTCAGATTTTTATTTCAAATGCAGATGCAGATCCCTACAACTCTGTTATTGGCATTGCTAGAGTGGTTCAGCTACAACTGTCTCTCATTCCACTCCACTTCATAACTGAACCCTTGCAAACAAGTGTGGTAGCTCAAGAACCGTTCCAATGACGCTGAAGAACAGCCTTCCGAGAGTTCTCCTCAATTACACGATTCGTGAGACCATTCCATCACCTGCTCAACCAAAATCCCGTACAACACACGGCTTACACCAGCGACAAACGTTCCGGCCCACGCTGCCCATTATGCTACGTTCCCACTCACCCTAACCTATTTCGTATACCAGACCCGTTTGTAATTGACCATGAGGACAACTTTCATAACTGCAAGTGACCTAGAGACCCGTTTATGAGCGATTCGGGTCATATGTCAAAGTGTAGTGGCTTTTTTGTCCGGTCCTGTCCAAATTGCAGCATAACAGCGTTGAACCAGATGAAAGAGCCGGTCGCCTACGCGTAGGGAAATCACGGGGAAACCCTTCGTAAACCAGAAGAAGGGAAAATGTCGCGTACAATACACATAATAGGCTGTGGAATCCATACTAGGCAAGGGAATAGTTTCTGCCCTTCCGAGAATGTTTTTGACTGCCCCCCCCCCTGCTTTTTTTCTTTCGAAGGGGGGAGGGGGTTACGAACCCTTCAGGAAAACGGATGGCAATGTTTTTGGCGCAGTTCGGCGTGCATACAACGGCTTGATGAGAACATTGTGCTAGCCTTATCGAATATTGCCAAGCCCTTTAGTGGGGAACTGGAAGTTCCTGTAAATCTAACAGAACTCTGTTTGCATACATTGAGTCCTCATGTCTCACCGAGGTGTGACATCTTGTTTAACAGGAAGTGGCAAGAGAAACTAACGAAAGAGCCAAATGCCCCTCCGAAGCCGAACGGTGTCTTGGAAGTTGATTGTATTCATGTTTTTTACTTCCCATCGACGTGTTTAAGAGGAAGGAGGTACCTGTATTACGTGCTGCTCAGGCAGAGAGAGAAAGAGGGTGGGGATGGGGGGGGGGATGGGAGAACTTTGCATTTTCCGCTTGTTTGTTTTGCTAATTCCTGTTGAACTACAAATCTCACGTGGGTAAGAGCATATTCCTGCTATTGCACCGCTTTACAGGAATCACATGTCTCGAGGGGTTCGTTGGAAGTAACGATGAAAGATGAAAGTAAGCGGATGCCCCGCAAGCAGGATCTGGGCCGAATATGTCTGACGACATTCCAAGTTTTTTTGTTGAGTTCCGCTGTCCGATGTACCCTTTCAATTACATTTCTTTATTGATTTTCACATATATACATAGATGAGAGCTGACGAAGATTTCATGCATTCTATCAATCATATTGGTATAGATATGGGGGTCAGTTAAAGCAATTTCCAATTTGTCTACGATCACAGTTTGAACTTGAGTTTCATTCCCGCTGAAATGAGTATGGATGAGTGTCATGAGTGAGGAAATTTCGGCCAAGTTGTTGAGGTGGATCAAGACGCGAACTATGGACACGTCATGTCTGCGTTCCCGTTCACCGAAGGAAGATGGAGCTACAACAGCCATTCACGAAGCCTTGGAAAATTTTCGTTTGCTAACAGTTATCAGGCAACGGGCGGGGCATAAAGTTAGACAGCAAACATGCAGGGCATAATTGCCGCAGTGTGTCTCCACCCCCCCAAACGTATTTTCTTTGGGAATTCTCCCTGAAATGACCCACCATTAATAACCGCTAGTGATATAAAACAGTGCATGGACGAAGACCATAGACTCGAGCAGTAGATATTGACAAATGTGGCCGTAACGCTGAAAACGTAGTGAATAAATTCGCTGGTTCGGTACCCAAGTACGGATCCTGGAGGATCGCGCACTTATTTGCTGTCCAGACCGCAAAATCTCAAAAATGTAAGCGTCCGGTAACGAGATGGAAGCCCTGCACACAGGTGGTAGCGCCTAGCCCTGCCGAAAGTAGAGTGCAGGTAAGGAAGTCCGTGTAGCGGCAGAGGCGTTTCTTAAGGCGCTGCGTGCGTAACTCTTGCACGAGTGTCACGTACGGCACTCCTTTAAAAACGCCTCTGTGCTATTAGCAAGCCAAATAAACTGGCTAGGGAAGGCCTGACTAGCCTTTACAGGTTGCCAAGACCCAGATATCCCGATCCACATCGGATTTTTTGAGGTCTCGGGAGCAACGGAAGAAGCGCGTCTAACTGCAGCGCTCGGACGAGATACTGGTTTCTCTACTGTTCCCTGTTTTAGCTATAGGAGCTATGCAAGAGATTCAGTCTATACTCACCTTTTGCGTTGTTGACGAAAAGCCTCGGAAGCGTGTCGACCAACCACGGCAAAGCCCACTCAGGAGCCATGGACTCTGCAAAGTCGATGAAGATTTACTGGTACATTTTTGTGTATAGAGGAACATAACAAACCGATTTCGTACTCCGGAACGCCACCCCACCCCCACAAGTGGAGAACAGACACTGATTTTACGCGCCCACGTTTTTTCTCGGAACTGATGTGGCACAGGTACGCGGTCGAGTACATTATCCGTCAAGAGATTGATGACGTTTTATGACGTCACATAGTACGCTGATGACGTGTCTTAAGGCCTCATTGAAAATGAAATAATACGAGTTTCCATGTCATTAACCTGTTATGGTCGCATGTATCGCACGTTAGATGACATGACCTATCCTAACCCTTGACAGGCAAAATACCCAAGCTACACCTGCCTCCCCCCCTCCTCTCTCCTTGATGCTGGATCCGCAGAATTACTTCGGATTTGCTGTTTCAGATCGTTGGTTTTGGTAGTTGATGGGCGCCGAACACCCTCTCCTCCCTCCTCAACCCCGCTCCCCTCCCCTTCCTCTATGGGGTAGTCTGGAGTACGAAAGATGCCTGATTAATCGAACTAAGAGACTTGGTCTTTTGTGGTTACTCACAGACTCCGCCCTCATCATAAGTTGCATGACGGCGACATTCACA